GCCTGGCGCCAGTCGTGCCCGGGCGCGCGTCACCACTGTCGTCGCCGTCGTCGTCGTCGTCGTCGTCGTCGTCGTCGTCGTCGTCGTCGTCGGCGTCGGCGTCGGCGTCGGCGTCGGCGTCGGCGTCGGCGTCGGCGGCGTCGTCGTCGTCGTCGTCGTCGGGGGCGGCAAAGAGGGGGGTGATGACTGAAGGGGGGGTGGATATCATGGCGGGGGCCATGATGTTTCCCCAGATTTCATGGCGCCTCTTCTTGCTTCATTGCGTCCCCGGCTCCCCCGCTGGGCCGCGCACATGCCGCCGGTCATGATTTGCACCCCCCCCTCTTTGACGCCCCCCTCTTTGCCGCTCCCGATGTCGTCGTCGTCGTCGTCGTCGTCGTCGTCGTCGTCGTCGTCGTCGTCGTCGTCGTCGGCTTGGGGAGGGGGACGCCAGGCTCGGGGTTCTGGGCTTGTGGACGTCGACTAGTGGAGAGGAAGCGCGCTGCCAAATAATTTCCAGATGTCTAGATGGTCTTTGAAATACGTATGTTTAAAATTTGTAAAAGACATTTTAGAAACATGCTTAGAACATGTTTTACACATTTTAGACACATCTTTAATTCAATGATAGGATTGTTAGAGTGTCCATTGTCATGGCATCCTCAATTCTAGGTTCGAGGTTTTCGGGCGTGCTCGTTGGCTCGTGGCGGTCTTCCAGCCTCGGGGTGCCAGCAGCTGCGCCTCGCCGACTGCGTTCGGGGCGTGCCCGGCTCATCCCGAACGGCTGCCGGAGAGCCGAGTTGCGACCCGAACGCCAGGGGACAGCGTCGTCGAGGGTCGAGGGTCGATGGTCGAGGGTCGAGGGTCGAGGAGGGGGGAGTGAGGCAGGGAGTGAGAATGGGAGGGGAGGGAGGGAGGGAGGAGGGAGGGTGGATGGAGGAGGGGGGACGAGGAGGGGAGGATGGTCGAGGAGGGGGGAGGAAAACGCTGTGGGGCCCTCCTGTCTCGCAATTCGCGCATCCTCATCATCATCATCATCATCATCATCATCATCATCATCATCATCATCATCATCATCGTCATCGTCATCGTCATCATCATCATCATCATCAGCATCATCAGTATCATCTGTATCATAAGAATTATCACCATCCTCAGTAACATCATCATGACCATCAGCAATGTCAGCGTCATTATCAGCATCATCGTCATTGCCTGCATCCTAATCATTATCATCACCATTATCGTTATCAACATCATCATCGAATGCATCATAATCGGCATTATCATCATCAGCATCATCATCATCGTCATCATCATCGTGATCCCATGACCCTTCTTTTGTGCGATTATAACCCGCACTTTTTTATACAAGCACTGACATCCCTGATATGGTAATTCACCCTTTGATTCCTCATGAACTTCTTTGTATACTTCTCATCGTTCTCCCAGCTCTTTTGCATTCCTCTAATGGAAACGCCCGACGCTTATAATCCTTTTACCAAAGAGTTTTAAGTGTGGGGGGATCTGCAGTGGCGGCACCTTGAGCCCAGGAAAGATCGAGAGGAAAACCGGAGAACAGGAAAAACAGGAAAACACCAGTGTCTTCATATAGGGAAGTCGGGAAAAGCTAGGAATACCTGTAACTGTTGGTATTGTTATGGTGCAGACGTTCCACACTTAGAATTCCACACTTAGAATCCTTTTGTAGCAGCCTTTACAACAGGACTCCTTGTGTGGCGACCTTACGCAAGGATTTCAAGTGAGGGGGATCTGGAGTGCCCTCCTCACTTAGAGAATCCTTGTGCGACAGCCTTTACAAAGGGAATCCTTGCGTGGCGGCTTTACAAGCGGGTTTCCATTGCGGGGGGATCTGCAGTGGCGGCACGTTGAGCCCAGGAAAGCTAAAGAGGAAATCAGGACAAGCAGGAACAACATGAAACAACCTGTGTTTTCACATGGCAAAATCAGAACAGCTAGGAAGACCTGTGACTGTCGGTACCTTTATGGTGCAGACGTTCTGGACTGAAAACCCTTTAGCAGCAGCCTTTACAACAGGATTCCTTGTGTGGCGACCTGACACACGGATGTTACGTGTGGGGGACTTGCAGTGGCCTCCACATTTAGGATTCTATTGTAACAACCTTTACAGTCGAATTCCCGTTGTGGCGGCCTTACAATCGGGTTTTCTTTATGGGGGGATCTGCAGTGGCGGCACCTTGAGCCCAGGAAAGTTAGAGAGGAAAACAGAAACAAAAACAAGAAACACAAGAAACAACTCGTGTTTTCACATGGGAGGCAGACAAAAAGCTAGGAATACCTGTGATGGTGCGCCGTGAAGCTGCGGAAACTTACCCCGAAAGCAGGAAACACAGGAAGCATATGAAACAACATGTGCTTTCACATGGGAACAGGAAGCACAAAGGACAACCTGTGTTTGTCATCATTATTGATGGCAAAATCAAGAAACACGTAGGCAGTCACAGGTTTTCCTTTGTTTTCTTTTTTTTGGCTGTGAACACAGGGACTCTTTGTGTGGCGACCTTACGCAAGGATTTCACGTGAGGGGGATCTGGAGTGCCCTCCTCACTTAGAGAACCCTTGTGCGACAGCCTTTACACAGGGAGTTCTTGTGTGGCGGCTTTACAAGCGGGTTTCCATTGCGGGGGGGGGTCTGCAGTGGCGGCACTTTGAGCCCAGGAAAGCTAAAGAGGAAACCAGGACAAACAGGAACAACATGAAGCAGCCTGTGTTTTCACATGGCAACATAAGAAAAACTAGGAAGACCTGTGACGGTCGGTACTTTTATGGTGCAGACGTTCTGGACTGAAAAGCCTTTTGCAGCAGCCTTTACAGCATACTTCCTAGTGTGGCGACCTGACACACGGATGGTAAGTGTGGGGGATTTGCAGTGGCTTCCACATTTCGGATTCTTGCGTAACAGCCTTTGCAATCGAATTCCCGTTGTGGCGGCCTTACAATCGGGTTTTCTTTATGGGGGGATCTGCAGTGGCGGCACCTTGAGCCCAGGAAAGTTAGAGAGGGAAACAGAAACAAACACAATAACCACAAGAAGCAACTTGTGTTTTCACATGGAAAACAGGAGCAAGGTAGGAAGACCTGTGATGGTGCGCCGTGGGGATGCGGAAGCTTACACGGACAACAGGAAACCCATGATAAACATTGAAGGAACATATGTTCCCACATGAAACAATAAGAATCACAACGAACAACCTGTGATTGTCATTATTCGTGTTGGTACAATGAATAGAAAATGCGTCGACGGTCGCAGGTTTCCATGTTGTTTCGTATTGTTGGCGGTGAGAACACCGGTTTTTATGGTTATTCCTGTTTTCTTGTTTTCTAAGTAAGCCTTCGCGGCTCCGCGGCTCTGCTTCTGGTGCAGCGTGGGGCTGCGGAAGCTTACCAAGAAGCCATCACAGCATGCAACGCATGATCAACTTATGGTTTTACATGGGACAACTAAGAAAAACAAGGGAACACCTGCGACTGTCTTCCTTCTGAATGGTACAATCAATTAAAGCGTCGGCGGCCACAGGTGTTCCTTAGGTTTTGTTTGGTTTCTCTTCATTTGTGGCTTTGCAAACGCTTCTTCCAAGTTCCCCCCCACACATTTGTATGGTTGTCCTTAGTTTTCCCAGTTGCTGTTGCCAAGTTGTTTTTTTCAAGTAGGCGTTCCTTTGTTTTTTTCCCAAGGGCGTCCTGTTTCCCTGGTCCGCCTTCGCGGCTCCGCGGCCCTGCCTCTGCAGATCTCGCGCCACCGAAGCCAGGTTGCAAACGGGTTATGCTGTGATCTCGTCTGTTGCGATCAATGTCAAGAGGGGAACGACTCGGGGGGGAGGAGGAGGAGCAGGAGGAGGAGGAGGAGGAGGAGGAGCAGTTCTCGCAGTTCTTAACACCAGATGGCTGCGAGGTTGTATGTTCTCGCCGTTTGCGACCGAGGAGGGCCCCGCAGCGTTCCTCTCTCTCTCTCTCGAGGGGGGGGGGAGATAAGCCTGTAAACCCTTAAGCCCTTAAGCACTGAAGCTTTTAAGCTCTAAAGCACTTGAAGCCTCTAAGCCCTTGAACCTTTTGGCACATGAACCCTTGCGCGCTCAAACCCTGTGTGCCTTTTAACCTTTGATCCTTTAAGCCCTTCACCCCTTAAGCCGTTGAACCCTTGAGCTTTTATGCCCTCGAACCCTAGATCCCTGGTCCCTTATAATACCATCCCCTGACAACCCTTAGAACCTTAAGCTTTTGAGCCCTTAATCCTTCTAAGCCCTTATGCCTTTGACCCCTCAAGCGTTTCAACCCCCAAATCCTTGAGCCCTCAAGTCCTTGTGCCCTTAAACACTTAATCCCGTAAAGCATGAACCCTTAAGCCCTGAAGTTCTTAAACCGTTAAGCTTTCAAGCCTTTCAACTGCTAATTCGTTAAGCCCTTAAACCCTTCAAGTAACATCCCTGGACAACCCTTTTTCCAGGTTGTCCAGGGGTTGTATTTTTAATTTTTGTGTAGACGGTACAGCGCCGATCCAAACACCGCCATCCACATGTACATCTTGAGCATCACATCATCGTAAGCCGTTTTGGTACACATCCTAACCTGGGCAGTGATGTGAGTTTCTGGAATTATTGTGCACACACACGCGGATTATCTGGTTTTGGGCTGTACTAACAGCGCCCCACTATTACAATCTTAGGGTGAGGCTCCTTGGTCGGTTGGAATTTGTGGCAGTCTGTTTCCCGGTGGAGCCGGGTGAAATTCCGTGCCCGCCGGTGACTGACTGACTGATTGACTGACTGATTGACTGACTGATTGACTGACTGAACGTCAGGAGGGCACCTTGAACAACACATTTCAAACCGCCCGCGGGCGCGCGACCGCAACTGGGCGACACATTTCGACCCGTCCACGGGCGCGCAACCCCAACCGCACCTGGGCGACACATTTCAACCCGCCCGCGGGAGCGCAACCGCAACCGCGCCTGTGCGACACACTTCAAGCCGCCCGCGGGC